ATACCATAAAGCTCCCCCAACCCCAAGCTCTCCTTATAAATGTTAGGTGATTGAAATTGTTCATATTTTAGCAGAGCTTTTCTTTCTTTTTGTCCTTCTGGTTGAGATAACTGCAGTGGGCATGGAACCCCACAGTACACTTTTCTCTGTATTTTTGCTAAACTGCTAATTTTCCCTTGTGTATTTCAGAGGTCAGAGTCCAGCTGTTGCTGAATTCAATTTACTACTGAAAGCACATTCTTTGGAAACGTACGGTGTTGATCCCCATCCTTGCAAGGTAATAGTTAAGAATTTTTAGTAAATTGTTACCACTCCACAGGTGAATAATGACTTTCAGTATAACAGCTGTCAGATACATTGATGGTACCCATGTGCATTGTGCCATTTCTAAAAGAGCCTCCCCAGAAAGTGTGAAAGAGATGCTGCCAGCTTGTAAAATGCTGATTGGTTGGCACCTACGTACTGCCTTCCACAGTCAGCATGACACTGAAGCTGGGAATGTCAGTATAAGATTTTTCTAAGGACTTGGTGTTATAATTACCATAATTCTGTCCCATTTCTGGGAGCAATTTATAAAATATATACTACATAGCATATAATAATCCTCAGAAAATAGATGATATAGCCCTCTTAAAAAAAACAGTAACTTATTTGAATTTAACAAGGAAAACTTTGGATTTTAGTTTTTTGAACAAAAAGTCAGATTAGTGTGATGTTAGATTTCCTGTGACTATTTCCAAATCCCCATATTGCTGTCTATAACCTGCTTTGTTATTTTATATAACAAAGGATTTGGAAATAGTGACAGGAAAACTAGATAATATGAAACTGACCTGAACCTTTGCTCAAAAAACTGGAATCCAAAGTTTTTTATGTGAAATTCAAAGAAGTTTGGCTTAATGACCTAAAGAAAAATACTAAATATCTTTTTACTTCCTGGTTTCTGCCAGTATTGGACATTTTTAATTACTTCAGTATAGGAAGTATTGTAGCAATGTTTGCAGCACAGATGATATGAAGAAGCTCTAGAAGTTCCATGAGAGACCTTGATCTTGTAGAATTTCTCGACCAAAGTATCAGGACTTGTAGTAGAGATGATATCTTTTATTAGACCAACAAGATTTTTTGAAAAAAAAAAGTATTTAATTGCAAGCTTAAAGAATTTTTTTTGCCAAAATCTTCTTGGTCTAAAAAAAGTTATCTTTTATGAGTCCAGATTGTCTTTTCCTCTAGACCAATATGGCTACAATCTGGATACCTAGACCAAAGTATGTCATTTGGAGCTGATTGTGAATCCTTTGCTCATGTTGGTCACTAATTGATATTAGATGGATACTTCTAAAAATATGTATTCATCACTGTGAAGAAGCCTAAGTGTTAGTCATGTGCCAAGAAGAAAGAAAAAATGCAGGTTGGTTTAACAGTAGCTGAGTGTTGCTCAGGATTGAGGTTTGAGGTTTAGAAAAGCCTAGAGGACAGAAAAATCATAGTTAAAAAAACAACCACCTATATCTAACGTATCAGTGACCCAGGATAAGAATTTATGCCATAAAAAGAATGTTTTCCAAATAAGGAAAAGAATTAAGACATCAACTGTACACATATTTGTTATTCTCTTTTTATTTCAAGGATTCAACGGGGACCACTACATTTTTAGGATTCACAGCCACAGGCTTTGTAGTTTTCCAGGGAAATAAAAGAATTCATTTGTTAAAATGGTGAGTGCATTAACTGAAAGTGGATTACTCTACAAGAGTCTATGTTTCTCTTCTTCCGCTTCTCCCTGTTTCCTCTAATGGAGCTTCACGTGAAACACTGAAAATTCGTTGTCCTTCCATATTATTTTTTTTTTTAAAGGATTCAAGATCACAAGTAAAAACGAATTTGGTGGTTTCATTCTTCTTACTTTTTGGATGTTAGTCTGTATGCCAAATCCACCTTAAAACTTGAAGTCAACTTAATTGACAGAAATGCTCAGAAATTGAGTAGCAGCGAAGTTACGGGTCAGTAATGAGGTAATAATTCCAGAGATGCCTAGGGGAGTTTGTACGTCTCCTACCTCATTATGCTTTGCTCGTGCATGCACTATCTCTTCCGCATTCAGTTAGGAAAAGGAAATATGAGATTCTGTTCTTCTAACTGCTTGGAGTGTGGGAGGAGGTTAGGGATCCATATGTTCATATATTATCTTTCCTTTGTAGATTTTTTTTTAACAATAGGGAGATTTGGTTCCTATGCTTTTTTTTTTCTTGAGGTAACTTGCTTCATTTTTCAGGATTTTCAGTTGTAGGACATATCCAAAACAGTATGACAACATGAGGGGAAGTTGCATTGCACCTCTTGTGACATCATTTCTCTCTGTAATGTCTGATGGAATAACTTAATCAGAGATTATGGTGCAGTCCACGTATTTTTACTTTATATAGTTTTACCAAACAGGAATAAACAGCCACCTGCCTTAGTAGGCCCTTTCACTGTGAGTTTCAAAATAAAAAACAAAATGTCAACCCACTCTTGAAAAAGGAAAGCTAATCTGCAGTTTGCAGCCTTTTCTTAAACCACTGGGAGCCCTTCATTATCCTCTAAAGGCCTGATTAGGCAGTGTGGAGAGCCCAAACAATGCCTGAACAGCTTCTCCTGAACAGGAGCAACCGCTTTACAGATAGGAGTTGTTTGTCCATAGTGGGCACTTGTACACATGATCACGTGATGCCATTAGCATGTACACGTGATGAAAATGTCACTCTGTGTGGCTTAATGGCATCACACTGTGCATGGTCAAGAGTTTTGGGGTTTTGCAGTGACTTTGCATCATTGCAAATGAAACTACATCCAGATGTAGTTTACTTTGCAATAATGTTTTGCAGCTGTCAGCTCACCCCGGCCACAGGAGAGGTGGGCAGGCTCTGCAGCTCACCCCGGCCACAGGAGAGGTGGGCAGGCTTTGCAGCTCACCCCGGCCACAGGAGAGGTGGGCAGGCTCTGCAGAAAAAAAGAATCAGGCCCCTCACTGCTTCAGGAGGGCACCTGCTGAAGGCAAAAGTGGCAAGGGGCCCCATCTTTTTTTTATTTTTTGGTGGAATCTGCCTGCCTCTCCCATGCCTGGGAAGCAAGCAGCCAGCGGGCTGAGTGGTGCCTGAGCTGGTGGTGGGCTGCAGTCCTTCCCTCTGCAGCTCAGAGGCAGCACCCAACCTGATCCAAATCTTCCCAAACCTCAAGCTGTCTGGGGTAGCACCTACCCTGTTGGTAGCCTGCCTGTGTGGCCCCAGGGGGTGCCAGCACCACAGAGGGAAAGACTGGGGCCGCTGACTGGGGCCCCCGACAAAAAAAAAAGAAAAAAAAAAAGGATCAGGCCCCTTGCTGTAACGTGATGGAAAAATATAAACAGTGGGCTTCAATTAAAAACCCACCGTTTCAATTTAGGAGGCATAGAATGCAACCTTGAGGATTAAACCCCTGTCACGTGTACAAGTGCCCAGTGTTCGCAGACTGTCGTCTGAGTGGGACTAGATAAGATGTCTGGCAACCATTTTGCAGAAGGCAACAAGGGAAGGACAACCAATTAGATAGGGCTTTCTTTATAGACCTTTTTTGATTTGTCTACAAGACCCACAAAAAGGTCTTGGTCCAATAGGACTCATGTCATCCCTGTGTGCTACATCTTTTTTAAGCATAACTTAATTAGCTCAGAGCACATGGCGCTTTCACTGGCTTTCACTCAAGTTTTGGGTGCTTAGCATTTCTGAAAGTCATGTTCCTAGTGTGTAAATACAAGCTCAGGTTGTGAATGGAGATGTCTGGTATTCTTGAGAGTGGTATAGGGGGATCTCTTGAACATCCTTGCAAACTTATTTTTGGGTTTGGAGGTGCAGAGCAGAAGCTCATTGAAGAGACTCAGTTTTTTTGTGGTTCAAAGTGTTGCAAAACTCATGTATTCGCTCCTGAAAAATGATGGACATGCTCCAATCTAAGGCTTTTGTTAAAGTGGCTTAGGAGAAATCTGATAGCATACTGTACCATGTGCCATTTTACTACATGGTTCTGCTTTTGTTAATAACAAATTAATTTCTATTATTTGGAGCTAGAAATTGGGTTATCTTCCACGATAGCTGGTTGAGTCATCACCTTTCTTTGATTTGACTAGATCAAGTGTGCTCGCATTGCCTTTTGCCATCAGAGTTCTTTGTTGTTTTCTTCTGAAATGTATTGTTGTGCTCTCCTGAACACTTTTGAAGGCTAAAGAGTGAGCTCCTTCTCTGAATATTATTAAAGGTACTAGGCATAATTCCACTCTCCTTTGGTATGTAAAATTGGCAACTTTCTAGCTGTGTACCTGGGCAGTTTTGGCCATGTTTCTGTACTGTGGGTGCATAGAATGAGCATTTTTAGGTGGCTACACACTGTCCAGACACTGAGTATAAGTTTGGGAGGAGAAGGATGAAAGCCCTCCCATGTTTTAGCTCCAATAGCTGAGCATTTAGAGGCACTTGCCCAGGAAGCAGGAGACTCAGGGCACTGTTTCCCATGCTCCAGTGGATGGGAGAGGCGGCACTTTAATTGGAGCAGCTCTGAGAGCCATTCTAAGAAAAGTGCCTTAGCATCTCGTGTATCAGCATCCCCACACTTAAAAATGGTGGTGGGGGTGCTTGAACTAAAGCTCATTTGATGAGCTTTAGTTCAAGCGCCCCGCCACTATTTTTAAGTGCAGAAATACTGATACATGAGATGCAGGAGGCTGTTTTAGCATGGTAATTACTCAATTAATCGAGTCTGACCTGATGCATTATAATCAAGTCTGCCTCCACACTCATGTACAGGCACCCTCAGGTGCTAAGTCCCATCATCCAATGGCATTTGAATGTATGGCTCTCTCACATCCCAGCACAGAGGTTAGGCATTATCCAGAATCCTCTCCAAAGCTCCTTTTGAAGCTGAGCATCTGTCCCTGACATTTAATAGTCATTGGATGAAAGGGATGGAGGGGAAGTTTCTCCCCCATTGGGAACAAAGGTGCAGTTTACAAATTAGGGCTCTCTCCCACCCAGGGCAGCAGCTGTCTCACTGAGCCACATATTCTCTGCTTGTTCTCTTCTTCCTGGTCTCACATAGTCTCCCAGGGGGTCAGCTGTCAAGGAAGCACTGAAGAGGCAATTGGATAATACCTAAAATGTAGTGTGATGGTTAGAGCATTGTGCTGGGAAGCTAGAGTGTTGCAGTTTCAAACCTCCTCTGGGCAAGGAGTACCTAGGGCTAGTGCTCTAGCCACTCAGATATTGGGGCTAAAAACATGGGAGGGTCCTCCTTTGGCATCTGATACCTGTTAGTTATGGATTTCTGGCTGGCTACATTTTGGTAACTTTGATGTATGCATCCGCAATGAGCATGTGTAGATAACCATGTACCTGCCTGGCCAGTGTATAGCTGCCTGTGCATGTATGCTCCTAGGCATCCACATTGCAGGGGAAATAGAATTTCTACCTGCATGTTTTATGTCAGAAACTCAGAAAAGCATAGAAATCTGCTCTTTAGATACACAGGCCACGTCCAGATGAACATGGGCATGCAGTATGTGGCGCCGCAGACACACCTGTGGTACCACATACTGCACATTCAGTTGTTCTCCGTGCTACAAGGGAGCAGCACAGAGCGTTTTTTATCCAGGGGTCAAAAAAACCCATGAAGAAAAAAGGTGGAGTGGTGCCTATACAGGCAGTGTGCGCTGCTCAAAAGTGTAGCTGGGCCGCCTGGAGCCATGCTGCGGATGCTGGCCAGGCTCTGCAGACTCCCCGCTGCTGCAGCCCCAGAAGGCCCCCAGGACCCCAGGTAGGGCTGCTGGGGCCAGCCCAGTGCTAGCCCCAGTCTCCCCTGCCGCCCCGGGGTAACTTGCCATGTGCCAGAGTGGATGTGGCATTGACATTCCCCGGGGACAACTAGCAGTGGCGCAAGGGGCTATGTCCCTGGCCACAGAGGGTAACAGAATTCTGCATATAGTCTCTCCAAACTGCAAAAAGGCAGCCTGACCTAGATTAACACAAATAGGATGATCGTTTCACTTCGGTTCTTCAAGAATTTTCTCTTGAGTTCATACCTCCCATTATGTTCTAGAAAATACATGCATCTCAAACTATTTGGTCAATAAGAGAGTAAAATTCTGAGTATTAGTGTTATCAGAGAGTCTCAGTTGAAATTACCTTCAACTGTTGAATCATTAGATTGTATCAGTGGTATGATAGATATATGATAAAAATGCCAGTAGAAAGTAAAAGGTATCAGTCAGAAAGTTTTCCTAGTAACACAGTTGTATAACCCCAGAGCTCTTTCCAGGGCATGGGGTCAGACTTGATGACCTACTGAGGTCCCTTCTGACCCTAACATCTATGAATCTATGAATTCCTCCTCGTCTGTAGGAACTTTCCACTGTCAGCCATCTGTATGCTTGTGTTTCAAGATTTTAACTTTCTAGCGGGTTCCAAGATTTTTAAGATTAAAAATATTCCAAAGTATATTTATACTGCATGAATATAAGTTTATGCCCACTTTTGAGCTTTCTGCTTTCCCCTCTGGCTCAAGTGAACTTTTTAAAGGCTTACAAAGATATGGAAAGCATAACACTCTAGGTGTATGTTCTCTCCTCTGAGGAAAGTTGGTATATTACTTCACTCACTTTTATGCTACAGGATGTCCACTACCAAGACTGCCATTGACATAATAGCATTTTTTCCCATGGCAGCCTACTTTGCATTTGTGCATTAGTAATATTTTATATGAAATCACCTTTCTTTACCTGCAACTCTTTTCTTTACTTACAAGATTTTTTCTTCTTAGGTGTGATGTCTATAAATTGAAATTTGAAGGGAAGACATTTTATGTGTTTGGAGCTCAGAGAGAGGTTAGATATGATTTTCATACTAACTTTTTAAATGTGGTTTGGATTTAACCAGAAATATATTTATAATATTTTTAACTTTAATTTAAAAATAAAAATTTTAAACTAATGGCGTGCAAATTTAAGTATTAGACATAAAAATCAAAATAAACACGAGCCTTTTTCTTTTGTCTTTGGGAAGGTATATTTCATTTGGCAGAGATTACATTACAGATGCAAACATCTATCAGTTTATCTGACACATTTGTGTAGTGTAGGATTGTCCTCTGTGTTTTATTTCCTATTACTTGAGCAGTCAGGTTTTAAGGATCAGAATGATTGAGTTGCACAGCCATAGTCTGTCAGATTCCTGGCCATTATATGCATCAGATTTTCTAGAGGGTTTTAACACAGAGGAGAATCCACTCAGGGCTTTGTTACACTTTATATTATATGCCACACAAATGTTAATCAGCTTAGTGTTGTATGGGTCAGTGGAGCAGTCACATCTTAAGGCCACAAACCATCTCTGACTGTGCTTTACCTGTACAGTTGTGACTTGCCACTAGAGGCTTGGTGAGCAGGGGCAGGACTAGGAACTACACACGACCCCAGGTGGAGGTGTTATCCCATAATGTTCCCATAATGTTCCTTGTGATTTTCTGTGATTCAAAACTCTTTGAGCCCTCTAAATCTGAGCTCTATTCAATCTGAGGGCTAAAAGGTGGTTGAAGCATCCCTCACACCCCAGGTGATGCCAGGACCCAACACGTGCAGGGGCTGGAGCTCATGTGGCTGAGGGGAGGAAGGGGGTACTGGCTGTGGAGCGGGGAGCACATACAAGCCACCGTGGCTGTTGGGTGCTCCAAGATTGTGGTGCTGGCTCTGCCCAATGGGAGCAGCAAGCTGGTCCAGGTGGTGATGGAAAGCACTGCGACCACTGTGCACTTGCTATGCCCAGTGGGAGCACTGAACCAGTTTGGGCAGTGGCAGGAGGCAGCTCAGCCACGGTGAGCTCCAGGGCTGCAGGGCTTGCTCTGCCTAACATGCCAGGGGGTGCCATCTAGACTGGCTTAGTGCTCCCACTGGGCAAATCTAGTACCACAGCCCTGGAGCATCCTGGGATACTGGAAGACTTCACCTTGGGCATAATAGCTATGGGGAGTGGCCACACCTTAATGGAACAGGAGCAAAGCTGTGTGGATTAGAGATAATCCTGCTTTTTCTAATACAAATAATTAGTACTTTAAGCCACTTAAAGATGTTAACATGCAGCCAGTCCAGGGGGTTAAGAGTTCCAGAAGCTACCTAAAATTACTGTGTAACAAGGCCCATATTTGATTTGGCTAGTAGGCTGATAGGTGTCTATATAGATCAAGGGTGGGCAAAATGGTGGATCCAGCTGGTGGCTGGACTCCATTTCCCAGCAGCCCCTGCCTGCATTGCTGCAACCAGTTTCCCTGGGGACCCCAGTAGTGGCAGTGCTGTGATGGCACGGGAACAGGGTTTCAATGGAAACCAGCCCCAGCAGCTCTGGCAGGATGTGTGGCTGGACAGGATGCTGCTCCACGACTGGGATCCTGCAATGGTGACAGCCTGGTCCAGAGCCGGGGCAGAGCCTCAATCTGCTGTCGGTATGGCCCTGCCGGGGGCATGCAAGCTGCAGATCACATCTCTGTCCTGGCTCTGGACCACACTGCCACCACTGCAAGATCCGAGCCCCAGAGCTGCTCCCTACCCAGCTGCATGCTGTGCTAGCATGGCTGGGGCCCCTGGCCCTGCACTGTCATGGTGCCGCTGCACCCCTGGCCCTCTTCATGAAAACCAGCTGCAGTGATATGGACAGGGACTACTGGGAAATGTAGTCCGTTACAGTCCCGATCTGGCCCATGGACTGGACTTTGCCCATCCCTGGTATACGTAGTCTTCTCGATTTAGGAACACTGTCATCAGTTATCTAGCTCTCTCTCCAGCTAGAGAGAGAGTGTCCAATTTACTTTGACCATCAGAGTGATGCTTGAGCATTACAGGGCAATGACGTGGGGCAGCTTTGCCTCAGAAGTTATGGGCAGGTAGCTACACCACACCAAAGAAATGTAGATGTAAGCCACTTAGAAAATTTTGGTCTTGAATGGTTTTTCCAGCAGATGGAAAAGTAAAGGTTTTTGGTGATATCTTTTATTGGACCAATTTACATAATTGAAAGGCCTACAAAAAGGCACTTTGTACCCGAACAAAAAACCCTTGCTCCTTGCATATTTCCTAGGTCATCACAGCTAAAACAACACTCCAACTGTAGTCCAGCAGATGGACTCATTATCAGCTCTCTAGAACACCATTTCATAGCCTGATAGAATTAAACCTTTTTTCCTTCTTTTTTTCCTTTGTGCTCAGAAAAAGACAATGTTGTCATTCCATACTTCTACACCAGCAGCCTGCAAGCACCTTTGGAAGTGTGGGGTGGAGAACCAGGCTTTTTATAAGTAAGTATATATCAGTTTATCATAGCAAAAGAAAAGAAATGTGCACTTGGGTAGAAGATGGCTCAGTTTGAAATGTTCTGTTTCCTTAACAGGCTGAAAGAAATGAATGCCATTGCTGCATCATTAAATATGGATGAAAAAGGCATATTCAGATAAAAATGTCAATTAGTGTATCAAGCTATAATACTCCATTTTAAGTGTGCATTATAAGCTTTATCATTTGAGAAGGCTTTACATGGGGTTTTTTTAGGAGATGGAGGAAAATAAAAAAATTGCTTTTGTTTTAGTGAAACGTGAGCAAGCCACTTGATTCTTTTGCATCTCCAGATCCCCAGCTGTAAAAAGAAAAGTATTATTTTCTTCACTTCCATTAAGTGCTTTGAGATCTGTGGAGGCAGAATTCTAAGTATTAAGTACTGCTTTACCTGGGCACTTTTTCTAGTAAAAAATATTTTCTATTGAAATCCAAGCAGTAGTAACCAGTGGAGAGAAATTCTACAGCATTAATTAATACAGCTGAAAAAGATGAAAGTGCCCCTGAAGCATTTTGGAAAGTTGTCATTCATTCACTTTTGAAAAAATTAATTGGTGTAAATCAGTTTCATCAGAAGGAAGAAGACTAGAAGCAGCCCCCATCGCACACACGCTCATAAAGGAGCCCTGCAGATAATTTCTCATTAAAAAGAACTAATTTATTTTTCTTTGCTTTCACCCTGTTGACTTCATTAGAACTTTCTTCTTAATATATTAACTTTTCTCTTTAGGCACATAGCTTTCATTTGTGCTATTTAGTGTTTCCTTACAGCATCTTGCATATATAAAAGTATGTGGAATGTAACCAGTGCTAGAAGGTGGAGAGATGACTCGCAACTGAGTAGACAGAATTTTTTCTAATGAGTTGTTTATGGTGAAGGTGGTTTCTTCTTTCAGCTTAATGCTGATGCAGGTGTGTTGAGTGAATGACACAAAATACAGCATTACAATACAAACTTCGGAGCTCTTCAGTGTTTTCCTTCCTTCCTTGAATGCGTTAAACAGTACCTCCCAGTAATTCAGCTTCAACATAAAGAGTGTTTAAAAGGAAAATATACATCCTGTTTTGATTTTTGATTTTTTGTCTTTATTATTTTATATTACTAGAAGTAATTGGAGGAAATGGGGGCCATATTTCTCCCAGCTGTAATCAGAGGAGAGAAGTCAAATACATTTGCCTTGAGTATTAAATGCACTCAAAACATAGCTGTCCAAAGTGGTACAGAATATCATCTCTTTTTAGCAGTTTGCTCTACTAGTTAGATAGTGGCATTATTCACAAGCTGGCTTCCTGCCAACATACCCCATCTACTGTTTTCTCTGTTCCACTCTCCCCATGGATTCCATGCAGCCCTGTGGGTTTATTTCTTCAACACTCAAAATATACTTGCCTATTCACACTTTGTTGTGTCTTGACATAATGGAGCTATGTTATTAGGTTAATAAAGAGACGATTGGCAGTGCGATCTCAAATGTAGATGCTGACTAATTAAGAAATAGTAATTTCTGTGAGTCAGAATCGAGGCATCCCTCCATAACTTTTGTGACCTGAATAGCACCCCATTTCAAAAATGAATTTATTTATTACAGGGTTTACCTTCTTGCAGAGGGCATAGGCAGCAGGGGTGTAGGAGCAGTTAGGCAGGGGAACCTGAGCTGCTTATTTCCTCACACCTGAAGCCTGCCTTTTATCTGCTGATTTCTTCACCTCTCTTATCTCCTCACACTTCCTGTGGCACCCTTCAAAGGATCTCATGGCACCCAAGGGCACCCTGGTTGAGAATCACTGTTGTAAGTCAGCGGTATGCAAAGTTTAAGTAGTCATTTTAACAAAACATCTACACTCAAAGCTTCTTACTGAGCAGTAATGTGCTAAAGAAAAAAGAAGGTATATCAGAATGCCTTTTGAGTAAATGAAGGGTATTAAGGGATTTTTCTTAACATTTTTTACACCTGATTCAAAGATTCATAGAGTCATAAAGTTGATAACAGAGCTGAGAGGGCCAGGACAGAGAGTGTAACCAGATCTCAGTCAGGGAGATGAGTGGACCATAGAGCAAACCCAAAGGCTCATAGGAAATAGTGAGAGAACAGCTTATAGATACCAACAAAGTTGAGAACCAAGAACTATGATGATAATATAAGACCAGCCAAGATCAGATTTAGGACTCTGAGAAACTGACCACCTCTTGACCCCAGAAAGTCATATTTTTTTAAAATTGCTGGTGGTGAACCATAAGTTCATGTTGATGTAATGGACATGAAGTGCAATTGGTTGTTTGCCAACCAAGTGAGAGGATAGCAAGGCCTTTGTGCATCCCTGTTGAAAGCTTAATCAATGGTTAAAATCACTTATTACTGAGAACACTGCATAGAATATAAACCCCTTAGGCACTGACTGCATATCATTATTTTAAATTTATACACTATCCATAAGATGTTTTAATTAAACCCAACAAAGTCTTGCATGCCATTACTGGTGGTGAAAAATTTAATCAGTTAAATTTGGGTCATGGTTTTAAATATTTTTCCACAGCTATCATTTTTTAGAAAAATGAAAGCTGAGATTCTTTTCACTTTGTGATTTCAGAAACTAGGGCCCCACACATTCTTATATTTTCGTTCAGTCCTGTGTTAAAACATTCATTTTATAGCTATTATTCATACCTATGTATAAACAAGTTTTTTAGGGCTTATACAATCATAGAATAATAGTCAATTAGGGTTGGAAGGGACCTCAGAAGGTCATTGAGTCCAACCCCCTCAACGCAGGACCATCCCCAACGAGATCATTCCAGCCAGGATTTTGTCGAGCCGGGGCTTAAAACCAACAAGCATGGAGGGTGAGAGAATCGATATGAAGTCAGTTTGACATTTCAAAACCACAGAATATCAGGAAGATGGTTGTACTAAAATTCTGCTGTTCCTTGATCTGTGAAAGCCAGATCTCTCCATCCTACAAACTCTGATTAACGTAGCAAAAGGTTGTTGCATGCTGACTCAGTGGTTAAACTGGGGAGACTTTGTTATAGGCTATACATAACTTGACTCTTTAACAATGCAGGAAATATGGTTGTTTTCTGAGTCAAATACTCATATTCTTTGTTTGTTTCAATAATGCTGTTGAATGGAGATAGCTATAGCTCAGCCCTAAATCTTCCACATTTTGGGTATTGTTAGTAAGAACCCTAGCTGTGGTGTGATGCTGGATTCATGCTGTATGTGTAAGCCCTTGCAGACACAGTAGACGTATGCACTGTACTTCCCCCATTACCCAGATAATCACTGATTTGCATGAAGTTATTTGGTACTGCCCGAGTTGTTCTGCTTGCAATTTTATGTTATAGTTGTTTTACATACTAATAAAAAAGTTTGAAAAGTTCACTTCTAGAATACTGTATGGTAGGAGAAAAGTAACAGTTTGTCTTTGATCCTACTTACTTCTGTATTTTAAGTTATTGCACTGCAATAAAATGACATTTCTACTCTTTTTTTTTCTTTCTTGAAGGTGTGCAAAATCCAGTCAGATCAAGACGGTGTCCAGCAGCAAAATATTTTTTAAAGGCAGTAGATTTCGATATTGGTAGGTGCTTTCTAGACCTTATGTTTCTTTTTACGATTAACCATTCCAGGGAGGAAGATAATTATTATTGGGAAATTAAACCTGTTGCTTCTAGTATACCTGTTTCAGCCAATCTGTGTTGATAGGATTTTAAGGCGAGTGCTACTTAGGGCCTCTTCAGTGCTTTATTTCATTCTGTATCCTAGTTTCTACTTGCATCAGAAAAATGGGCCCTGAACTAATTGTCATCTTTCTTAGCAGTCTCAAGAGGACAAGAGTTGGATGGCCTAGCAATTGAACTACTCTTTCACCAGATGTCTCTAGAATAGAGCTACCTTGGTTGGAAAGCATAGAGGAAGCTCATGATGGCACTGCTTTTCTTTACTGGTTCTGTAGATAGATGGTCTCCAGGATTTTCATTCAGAAACCTTTTATGAGCACTAAATTAATTTAGTTTACATTAGAAATAATTCCTTTTTCTTATGTCATTTCTTTTAAAAACGTTGCTTTTCTTTCTATTAAAACAATTTGGTTTCAGGTGTGTCTAAGTACAGATAGTCAAAAAGCCTGTAACTGAATTGATTCAATCTTCACAGGTTAGTCTAAGCTGTGTGGACTGAACCAATAAGCAAGTGAAGAGACTTTCACTTTTGATTTCAGAAATGTAGCCACATGCCTGCAACGGCCCAGACCAGGAGCCAGGGGCACTAGAGCATGCCTTTCTGCTCAGCTGGAGCAGACAGCTTGGGCCAAGGCTAGCTAGCCCATCCACCCTGCAACACATCTTGGGATGTTGGGGGAGTGTGATTTAACTTGAATATGGAGAGGATCTGGGGCAGAAGTTCAATAAACCAATTTAACCTAGATCAGTTGTGTCTGATACTATGTCTATCCAAATTTATCTTAGACTGGTTCTGGCCATTTTGAAAGCAGTTTATGTGCACTGAACTTCTCTTGTGTTACAGAAATTAACTGGTTTCTGATCACTTATACTGGTTTATATGTCATTTCTGTCCCTAGCCAGGGTGAGTGGCAGTGCTTCCAAATTCACAGGCCTTCTATGAGCCCCACAGGCCAAACAGTATGTCTCTAGTTTATGGGCTGGATCAGGCCGCAGGCCATAAGTTTGACACCCCTGATTCAGTGGTTCAACTGGATTTAGATATGGATGAATAACAATTTTAAAACCTTCAAAAGTTGTTTCATTATTTAATTCATGTTTTAATACAGTGGCAAAGTTGCCAAAGAAGTGGTTGAAGCAAGTTCTAAGATCCAAAGGGAACCTCCTGAAGTTCACAGGTATATTTTGATGTTACATTAAACTCTAAGAACAGAAGAGGCTGAATCTGCTTTGCACAGAAAGTATTCCTTTCATTACTGTAGGATATAGAGACTGATTGTTCTGACTGTCACCTGCCTCAGTGGGGGACTTTTAACAAGTCAAAAATGCTAAGTGAGTTTATCACAATTCTGTTAATAGTGCTTTTTATCTCCTAGGCAAGGAAACTACGTCCATGTGGCATGAGGTTTCTTTTAATCATTTGGTCAGATAGATAGTTTCTGTTGGCCTTGGTAATGATGATATTAAATTATCCTTGTCAAAAAAATCACCTGGTCACTGTCTTTATGAGTTATTTTTTGAGGAAGATGGAGAGTTATGTTCCAAAAAAACCCACAGCTTTATAGCCTTAAAGCTAAGAACTTTATATTTAAGCAGTAAGGAAAGTGTCACTCCTTATTTGGGGAAAAATTCCTTGTTTTGGTGTTTTTTGGTATGACCAGATGATACCATTATACTTTTGAGAATAGACAGACATCTTTCTGAAAGGTGTCACTGTTCAGCCAGTCGGAGTTATGAGAACTTTATTAAAACAAATGGAAATTGAGAACTTACAGAGACCCTGTGATTAGTAATTAACCAGAAGATAGTAAAAAGAGGGCAGGGAAAAAAAAAACGTTAAAAAAGTTTTAAGGATACCTCGTGTCAGGTGCATTTATTTTTTAGTTTTCTGAATATTTTGTAACTATATCCCCGCATTTATTATAAATTTTATTATGTTTTGATATTCCAGCTCTTACTTGGTGGAATATGGAAAGTACTCCAGGTTAGGCTTTTTAAAACTTCTCAGAGGTAAATATTCAGAAAGAAGTACTGATGTTGCACGCCCTAAGAATAGTGGTGGGCAAAATACAGCCTATGCGATGGATCTGGCCCATTGAGGGATTTTGTTTAGCTCGCAGCAGGTTCCATGGTCCCACCTTGCCCAGGCACGAGGGGCAGTGCAGGGTATAGCGGGTGCAGCTGGTCCTGCTGCCCAGACACAAGGGGCAGCCCAGGGGATGCTGCATGTGGCTGAACCCACTACCCCATAGCGCACAGCAGGGCAGGGGTGGTATAGCGGCCAGATTCCATTTCCCAGTAGCCCCAGTGGCTGCAGCTCCTTCTAGCTGCCGCTGCCAGACCCAGCCCTGCTGCCTGGGCACCCCAGCCTGTCTGCCCTGCATCCACCACTGGGGGTGGGACCCACACAAACAGAGCATTCAGGTGGGTACCTGGGATGGGGCTGTGGGCTAGAAGGGAGCATTATCTGGGAGTTAGATGGGTGGGCAGGGCCAGGGAGACCCCGGATCTTGGAGTGGTGACGGTGCAGGGCTGGGGCCCAGGGCAGAGCCACGATTTGCTGCCTGCATGTCCCTGCAACAGGCATGTGTTCCTCAGGCGGGGGCTTGTGGGGAGCAGATCATGGCTCTGTAATGGCCCCACACTGTCACCACCCCAAGATCCCAGCCTCAGCACCGATGAAGCGCTCCGCCTGCCCACGTGGCCTGCACATGCAACTCCTGGCCAGTCTCAATGGAGACCCTGGGATCACGGGACTGTGACAGTGCTGGGTCAGGGCTGTGGTAAAGCCCTGGTTCTGTGGGCAAGGATGTGCAGGGAGTACATCGCAGCTCTGCCCTGCCTCTGTGATGATACTGCCCCATGATCCTGGAGTCTTCATGGAGACTGGCTAGGAGCTGCATCCTGTGCCAGGTCTGGGATCTTGGGCCGGTGACAGAGCCATGATTCACTCCCTGCATGCCCCTGTCTGTGGAACCCACACCTGTTTCAGGGGCATACAGGCAGTGGATCACATCTTTGCCCTGGGCCCTGGCCCTACACTATCACTGCCCCACGACTCCACTCCATGATCCCGGACTCACCCACCCATCCCACTTTTGAACAGCGCTCCCCACCTCCCATATAGGGAGTTTTGGTGAGTTGTTGGGCAGTGGGTGGGGTGCTGACCCAGCCTTCAGCAGCTCAGCAAAACTCCTTACATGACCCGTGGGTCCAAATAATTGCCCACCCCTGCCTAAAAACATCAGCCAACTTGGGCATATGTTGTCTCTGCTTGCCCTTGGCCCATTTTACTGTTCTGCCTCCATTGCCTGGGTGAGTTACCTTCCCAGGGTTAGCATCTACCTGACTTACAGCCTGTCTGCTGGTAGCCAGTTCATTAGCAGCTAGCTTATTTCTTAGCTGCCAGTCCTCCCTGATTCAGCTTATCCTGCTACACTTTTCTCTTAAAGTAACAGGAGACTTCCAGCTCCCTGTTACAGGGGGGCAGAGAGGGGGCCAGTGTGGTGCCATGGGCAGAGAGGGAAGGCATGTGGTATTCGGCTAGTGGGGCATATGATCCCTGGCCATGTAGAAAGTGGACAGCCCTGACCTGAATCATATAAATGATTCCTAGAAGAATTTGAATCAAGAATTTGAATCTTCAATCCTAGAAAAATTTGAATCAATAGTGCAGAATTCTGTAAGAGCTTCTGCTCTACCCAGAGCTCCTATACAAGTGAATGACTTATGTTAAAATATACTTGCACAATTAAATACTGAAATGCAGTAAAATGTAAAATGAGACATAAGGCTTCAAGAATGAGGAGGCTGCCACGGGGCTGAGCCACCGAAAGCCCTTTGCAGCACTTCAAATGTGAAAGTTATCCTGTCTTACAGAGAGGAGAGTCATCAAGGGATATTCACTGTACATGGCATGTTCTCTTTGGGGCCCATTGCAACTTATGCAAAGTGATCATGAGACAGGGAGCTTTGTATTTCTTGTGACCAAACCAACACTGTTTATCTTTGCTTTTAGAACCAGCATTCCCCAGAGTCGTAGCTCTCACTCCTTGAACAAACAGCTCATAATCAATATGGAACCTTTGCAGCCCCTTCTCCCTTCTCCAAGTGAAGAAGAAGAGATTCCATTTGATGAAGGTAAATTCAACACTGTCACTACATTTCCACAAAATGATAAAGTGAACCTCATACTGCATCTGTGGTATGTGAGACTATAGAGACTGAACACTGACCTGCAACCCTCTCTGTGATGGAATGTGCCAGGTGGTTGAAACAGCACAGTAACACTATTCAGAATTTAAAGAAAGCAGCAAAACCCCCCAAACCAAATAAACAGAACAAAAAAAACAACACCAAACCAGTTCTTTGTTAATGCAATTCTATTGACATAAATACATTTTTTATTTCTGAAAGTTGGAACGATATTCTTTATAGAAAGCATAATTCTAGTATTTGCTTACTCACTGTTTTTGATCATGTTCCATACTGATCTTTCAAATAAATAAAGAACATTTCTACTGAAGATCTTTTAGAATTTTTTTAAGTAGCGGGGTATGAACCTCAATATTCTAGCCCTATACCAATGTTGCTACTGAGGAGAGGTAAATCTTCATTATGACATGTTTTTCTGAACCAACTGTGTAGCTGGAAAAGCTGATGGACAATCTTTTGCTGTTCCTCAGGTGACCTGCCTGCAAAGTATCAGGTGCTAAATGAGAATAAATCTTATTTTACTCTGCACTGTTTATTCAAATTCTCTGGGAGCTGGTTTTTATAAGATGACACCTGAGGTAGAGCACCTGATGCCCAAGAGCTTGTTCAATAGTTCTCCCAATGATACAGTTGGTCCAATGAAAGATATCACAAAAAACTTTACCTCTGGACCATCGTGGCTACGACAACACTCCAACTCTACTACAGCATCACTGATGACATCCTTTCTCTAAGAAAAATTCACTCTTTAAGTTCCACTGAAATATCAGGAGTCAATAGAGTTTTTGCCAGCAGACCATTTGACTTTACTGGATTCTTGATAAAGTCATTTGTGATTTCACCTTATTGGAAACAGGAATACTAGGAATAAGAGTCATTCCTTCATTTTACAGACTCAGTGGCCCTTTGATATCAGTGGGAACTTTGCCATTGACTTTCATGGGGATAGGAAGGAGAGTCCCCAAATGGCCAGGGAGCCAGCGAACAGGGGCAGCAAGCAGGGCAAGCAGTTTGCAGGCAGTTTGCTAGGCATTCCCTTCCCCGCCCGCCTCGATTAAGAGACCCAGGGAAATAGCTGGAGGACATTGCAGTGCCAGAGCCACTGCCGTGCCTCTGCTTGCACCTGTGAGACTTCTCTCCAGGCAGGACCACTCACTATCGAGGCTTCTACCCGGGTCCAGGTTTGGCACTGTGGGGACTGTGGCTTTCAGGTTACTTCCAGTGACGGCTAGGTAGAACATACCTCCTTGCACTGGAGCCAGGGGGAGATGAGCCTGCATTTGTCTCCTTCCATAAAGTTTGGGAGGGGAAGAGCAAGAGCTTATCTCTTCATACCCCATAGCACCTTCAAAAGGATCCTGTGGCACCCCAGGGTACTGTGGTAAATCAGTTTATTTCCAAAAGAGTCAGAAAAATTGCACTTTACTTGTAGGTGGGATTGACTTATTCTTGTAGCCTGCAGTATGAGTGGTGCCTTCTGGTGGTGTCTTTCAGGGAACAGGCAAAAGAGTCCTGTACAGGTTTCCCTTCCAAGCTGCACTGCTTCTCCTTCACCAGTAGGTGGCCAGCAAGAGCACTCAGCCTGATAGGCTTGTTCCTGGAATAAACAGCTACAACAGGGAAAAAGTGTTAGGGTATTTTTATTTGGCATACTTCAAAGGGACCTGAAGTGTGATAATGGTCATGTATGTCTGTACAATCCTGTGACAAAAGACTTTCTCCTGGGTCAAATGCAATGTCTGCTCATATCTTAAGAGTCCCATTTTTTCTTTCCAAAAGAGCCAGCAAAATTGCACTTTACTTGTAGGTGGGATTGACTTATTCTTGTAGTCTTTATTTTTGTACTTAAAGTATTTTTGTGTATGTAGTAAATATACCCAGTCAGAAATGTTAGTTGTTTTAGGGAGTTCAACCCTTTGGGTCTTTTCTTTCTTTACTTGATTTTCCTGTGGGATTTTGTAAGGGTAATACAATTATAGAATCACAGAAAAATTAGGGTTGGAAGGGACCTCAAGTGGTCATCTAGTTCAACACCCTGCTCAAAGCAAGACCATCTCCAGCTATATCATCCCAGCCAAGGCTTTGTCTTAAAAAACCTCCATGGGTAGAGTTCCATGTCTTGAACTGTAGTTATCAATTTATATCTGGAGAAAAAGTTGTGTTTCCTAAAATTGATCCTGAAAACCTGGGACTGATCTGTATGCTCACATATGACTTATTGAACGGAACAATACCATAATCTAAGAGGAGTTAAGTGACTTCCCTGAGGTCATAAAATGAATCAGTATCAGAGCAAGGAATAGAATCTTCTCCTTACTTAATTGCCAGCAGAGTACAGGATTTCCTCTATTAATGAAGCACATCTTACAGGTTCCTGAATTTTAATTTGCTGTATGTCCAACACCTGAAAATGTGACCCAAAATACAGTGACCTGCTGGTTTCTTGGGTTATCGTTTTTAATGAGCTGCTTGAAAATACGTGCTTCACAAAATTGTCTGAGAGGTTAATTCCCATACTGACTCAGTCTATGTGAAGTATGAAGCTAAATTGTCTTACAGAAACTGCCAGACGATAAGGAATATTTCATGCCAATTGCTTGAGTGTTGCTAAGTAACAGAGTGATCAGAGTGAACTCAACCACATGAAACGTTATGTAGGAATTTTGAGCAACTTTAAACCTGTCTCGCTGTCCTTAGGATTGATTCAGAATATGGCAATTATGCAAAATAGAATAAAAAAACCCCCAGTCATCAGGGCACATAAGATCTGCAAAGGTATGACAGTGAAATGAAATTCCTTTTCATATAAACGCAAGATGTCTACTGATGCTCTAGTATTGCTAGCTTTCTCCAAAACCAAAAAATGAATTAATTAGTAGGCATTGCACTCATGATAAACTCTAGAGTCACTGTGGAGGGAAAAGTAATAAGCTTTGGTGGTAGCATCGCAATAGGATGATTCAATATAACAAAGAACAGCAAAAAAAAAATCCACTGTTTTATATTTGTTTAGATATTGGGGTGGGGGGGGTTATAAACATTGAGAAATTAGTGTTTTGTTACTTAAGTGAAATAAGATTTAAAAATTGATGATGAAAAATGTTGTTTGGAATGACAACCAAACAGATTCTAATATTTCAAACTTTGGTGCTCTATATTCTATTTGTTGGCTCCTAAATCTGCATACAGTCATTCAAAACAGACATTTAGTTGACAGGCTGCTAGTTTGAGCACCCAGATGTGAAAAAGGTTGCCATAACTTAAACCACATTTTGGAATTATGTTCCTGATTTATCAGACCAGTTCTGGAAGAGCTGTAAGTTTGAAGAGAATATTCATACAGCGTAGTCTCCTAGAATGACTTCAGGGAAGCAGGTTACTAAACTCTGCCTGGGAGTAACAGGAAGTATTTTCCTGTTAAAATAGGTTATAAGAACTTTTAAATTCAATACTTGACTCTAATATCTGGTATTAGTAAGGAAATTTGTGCTCCCATCCCATTCAAGTGTTTCCCATAATCACAGATCATACGATCCTGTGCTTCTAGAGCAGTTCAAAAGATCATTTTCAGTTAGTGAATTCACTGAATGGGGCACTGATTCATAAAAACACAGCCCAAGTAGTTGGCTGTTACAGTTCTGCTTACAGAAGGAAGGAAGGAAAAACTTTCCAAAACTAAATCTTTTTCTTGGTACCGTTAAAATATATTAGTAGGTCTCTTAGGTCAGAGGTCAGGTACACCAGTTTTGGGAGAAGAGCTAATTTGAGCTATGTAGTAGCACCACAGTGTGAAGCGACATGAGAGAGAGTATTACCCAGATAAGAAACAACCTCTTTTCAAAACTATTATTTTTCAGCATTATAAAGTAAATCTCTTCCCTACCCTAAGTTTTTAAACTGACAGCCCTTATGTGTTTTTCAGTCTGTTAACAGGTGGCTGTTAATTTTTATATTGCTGAACAACCTGAATTAAGTTGTCAGACTCCTCAGAGACAGAAGGGGATACAAAGCCCTAGAGAAATATGTGTGGATTTACTTAAGAAATGTGCAAAGAGATGGAGCTAATTACCAGGCTGGTCTGATATGTTACAAATGAAAGTTAATGTCTTTCCATTTACAGTTAATAGAAACTAGTTTTTCACTAAAGACACCATCATCTGAGGATCCGTCATTCTTGAATCTTACAATGCCAGTGCAAGACAGGACAGAATTCCCCTGTAGCAAACTTTTTATGCTCTCTGAAGCATTACATAAACCAGGAGACAATAAAGCCCTTTCACCCCCTTCCAGAAATACCACATCTTCTACTACCTCAGCTCAAAGGACCTTCCAGCAGGCTTCTTCTTAACCATGGGCTGGGAAGGAGCTGTCTGCAGGAGTCGAGACATTTCACCACTTCTACTCACAGCTTATCAGCTGTCTGACCGTAGGCTTCTTATTTGAATACAACTTCAGCTTTTGATGGTCTGTGCTCTTAGCTTTGGGGCCCTAGAACAGTGGTTCTCGACCTTTGTAGGCTCCTGGTAACTCTCCATTACTCCTGCGATCTGAGTGGCACTCCATATCAATAACTGATTTATTTATTGCAGCATTTACGTCCTGGTGCAGGGGTGGGCGTGGGGGTGGATCAAGCATTTAGCTCCTCACAGAACAGCTGGGCAGGGATGATCTTGAGCTTACTTTCTTGTACCGGAGCTGAGCACAGACAAGCCTGTGCTTAGCTCCTCTACTGGAGCAGCTCCTCTACTGGAGCTGAGATTAGACTGCGATTAAGGGGCAAAATCCTTTCTGGGTTGCCCCTCAGAGGACACTTTTGAAGAACTGGGAGCAGGGTGGTGCCTAAGCGGGGAGGAGGAGGTAGGGAGGAGCAGCCACTTGGCTCTTCACACAGGAGGCAGCAGGGATCAGTAGAGCATACCTCCTTG